GGGGACACGGGGGTGGCCCAGCCACCTCGTTACCTGCACGTTTTAACGAGCAGATGGATGATTTACAGCAAAAACCCAGGACCCCCCCACCCCCCGGGGAGATGGTATCTCAGCCCCGTCACCATTTCCATGGCGCAGAGATGGGGAAACGCTGACACGGGGGTTTTGTGCCACCCTGCCGGGTGATTGCTAATTAGGTATAATTAGAGCAGCCCCCGGGGGCAGCAGAGCAGCCCACGTCCTTTGGGTATGGGGGGGAACGGTGGCCCCCACCCCATTAAATAGCCTGGGGAGGGGGGGGAAAAAGGGGTCCAGGTTGGTCACGCTGGGTCGGACACGGGGGAGGCAGCTCGTTAGGGAAGATGCTAATGAGGGAAAAATTAAAATTAAATTTTTTTCTGGAATCTGGAGCCCTTGCCCCCTCCCCCCAAGTGCTGGCAGGGACACGGGGCAGCCCCCAGAGCCCCCCCAGAGCCCCCCTCTATGCCAGGCTCGGGGAGGAGCTGCCTGGACCCGGCTCTTTCTGTTCCTGTCAGATTTACAGGGCTGTTTCGGGTTTTTTTTTTTTTTTTGCAGTTTGTGGTTTAACCTTTAACTGCTTTTTTTTAATCAAAAACACCACCACCTTTTCGGGCTGAAGGTGAATTCATATTTAACACCCCCCCCCCTCCCTGTTCCAGCCCCGACACGGGGATTCACGTCAAGTGTTTTTGCTCCACGGGGCCAGCACCTCCTCCTACCAGCTCCGACCCAAAAACTGCCGCAGAGACCCCCAAAAATCAGTGATGGGGGGGGACAGGAGGGGGTGTCCCTGCCCCGGGGGGCTTGGCCAAGCCGGGAGTTCAGGAGCCACCTGAACACTCCCCTTGCCCCCAGGCCCCACAGAATCACAAAATCACAGAATCTTCTAGGTTGGAAGGGACCTTCAAGATCATCTTGTCCAACCGTCAACCTAATTTTGACAAAAATAGACACCCCCACAACAAACAAGGAGCATCATCACTAAACCAGACCTCCCAGCACCACATCAACCCGGCTTTTGAACACCTCCAGGGATGGGGCCTCAACCCCCTCCCTGGGCAGCCCATTCCAAGGGCTGAGAACCCTTTCAGGGAAAAAATTGTTCCTAATATCCAGCCTGAACCTCCCCTGGCGCAACTTGAGGCCATTTCCTCTTGTCCTGTCGCCTGGGACTTGAGAAAAGAGACCGACCCCCACCTCTCTACCCCCTCCTTTCAGGGAGTTGGAGAGAGCAAGAAGGTCTCCCCTCAGCCTCCTCTTCTCCAGGCTGAACACCCCCAGCTCCCTCAGCCTCTCCTCATCAGACTTATTCTCCAGACCCCTCACCAGCTTTGTCGCCCTTCTCTGGACCCGCTCCAGCCCCTCAATGTCTTTTTTATGGTAGGGGGGTCCAAAACTGGACACAGCACTCGAGGTGAGGCCTCACCAGTGCCCAGTACAGGGGGACAATCACCTCTCGGGCCCTACTCCCCACGCTGTTCCTGACCCAGGCCAGGATGCTGTTGGACCAGGAGAAGTTCCTTGTGACCAAGTACAACAAAGGGAGAAGTTCCCTCCGAAAACCAGCTCCAGGTTGGTTTATTTACGGGGCTGGGAAGCGGCGAGGACGGATGGGGAGGGAGGTCTCGGGGGGGGACGGGCAGCGCGTCCCGGCTCTCCCGGGGTGGGGGTTTGCGGCTTCTGATCTATTTGAGAGCCAACGCGGCCTGTTTGATCTGGATTTTAATACCTCACTTTTTTTGGCCAGTACATCTTCCGAGATGAAAGCTGGGTGTCCCTCGTGGGGCCGGCATGAAACGCACAGGCCTCTAGTTAAGGCAGAGGGAGGGAGGGAGGGAACGGCGAGCCCCGCCGCCTTCCACCCAGGCAGGGGAACCGCCAGCCCTTCGCCTCTGAAATCCACATTAAACGAAGGTTTTCTGAGTAATTAGCTCCCATAAAGGCTAATTTTTTTGTTTGATATGTTGCGAAGACTCGTCCCATTTCTGTGTCTCTTGATTGAAGGACTCCAGGCAACCCTTTCGGTGCCAGGCAGCGGGGAGATGTCGTCGTGGCTCAGCTGAGGATCCATCCGGGGGGATCGTGGTGGACAGGAACCTCGACCCACAGGAGGAGACACAAGCGACCGGGTCCAGAAATGGCCCCACATCTCTGGGTCTGGATGGTTTGGGGTCCCCTGACCCCACATGAATCCAGAGAAAGCCCCTGAGGGCTCGGAGCGGGGTCTCACCAGGAGCTGCCACGTATCACCCCCAAACACCCCCCCAACACGGAGGGGACGGGGTGGGTTTAAACAAAGAGAAGAACCAAGACCTTCCTCATGGGTCTCTGCTCCAGACGCACCAGAAGATACACTTTTTCCAAAAAAATCCAGGAGCTGCCCCGGTTTAGACCCCCTGTCCCACCCCCCCCAGACCTGTCCCTGGGCAGGGGGTGGTTGGGGTCACCCCGAGGGGCACGGGGCAGAGCCACCGGCGAGGAGAGCTCACGGTGGATGGGTGCCAAAGCTCCCCCACAGCAAAAATCCTTCCTGAGCCCCCGCAGCGCTGCCCGGGATGGAGAGGAGGAGGATGGTGATGGCTCCGGAGCGAAGGACTCCTTGAGGAGGAGCAGCCGGGGCTCGGTCGGTCTGAAAAACCGCGGCGGCGACTTCGGTGCTTGGTGGGGAGTGGGGCTGTCACCAGGGCCAGGCTGTCACCAGGGCCAGGCTGTCACCAGGAGGAGACACACACAAGCTCTTTGCTCTCCAGAGTTCAAGACACTGGGGTTACTGCCCCCAACTCCTCGCCTTCCGACTTCCTATTTTCCCCCTCTCAGAGATAAGGATCAACCGTAAAGAAAGAAAGGGTTTCTTTGGCGTTTCTCCCTGTTAAGGGGCAAAGCCCAAGGCCACGAGCCTCACCTCCTCTCCCCGACCACCTCGGGGTCAGAAACACCACCTCGGGGTCAGAAACACCACCTCGGGGTCAGAAACACCACCTCGGGCTGCAGAACCAGACGAGAGGCCAAAAAAAAGCCTTACACCGAGAGGCAGCTTTGTCCTGTGCCCGCGGGGACGTCCAGAGGCAAAATATAAGGGATGGGAAGCTCCTGCAAAGCCCCAAACCTCCTCCCGTGCAGATGCCAGGCCAGAACCAACAGCCCCCATCCAGGCACCTCACTCTGGGGGTCAAACCACCCCGATTTCACCCCCTCTGGCACCTCCCAGAAAGTCTCAGCTCTGCGTGGAGGACAAACTCCAAAAGAAACCAGCCAAGTGGGAAGAGCCATCCACAGCAAGACGGGAGCTGAAATTGGGAGCATCACACCCTCCCCAGCGAAGGGCAGAGACCTAAAGAAAATGGGGGGGGCTCTGGGGCTGTGAGGGGGGAGCAGGTTTCGGGGCTCTGGGCAGGGCTGTGATGGGAACAGGCTCTTCAGGGGCCAAGTTTCTTCCTTCCAGGAAGACACGACACTCAAAAGGGAGCGAGCTGCAGGTGATCAAAGCCAACTGGGTGAACTTTCAGAGCCCCGTTGGCCCCGCGGAGACGCAAAAGCGAGGGCAAAGCCTGAGAAAGTGGGGCTGGTGTTCTTCATCCCCCCCCTCCTCCCCCTCAGCCCCCGCCAGCTCTTACATCACGGAACCAGCGGGTGCAAAAAACCACATCTCAAATGTCGTATTTAAAAAGGACAATGTCAAACCAACACACAAACAAAACCCCTCGGTGCTCGTTCTCGCTGGGGCAGGGCACACCCAAGGGTGGGGACCTATCTCGACTCAATAAAAATCTATTAAACATTTATCTTTATAAGAAAGAAGATGCAATAACCCCCCAGGAACGGCTGGAACACGGCGGGCACAGAGCCCCACGGGCAACGCAGGTCAGAGCAGCCCCCAGACCATCAACCAGACACCAACGCACGACGCGACGGCGACAAACCCGGAGCTGATAATGAGAGGAAATTTGGGCTCAGAGCTTTGGGGTCTCAATCCCCGTCCCCATGTGCTCCCTCCCGTCCCATCCCGGCCGGGGGTACCCACCGGAGTGTGTCCGCAGGTGGCCGGTCAGCGCGTCCCTCCTGCGACAGGCGTAGTTGCAGAAGGGACATTTGAAGGGTTTCTCCCCCGAGTGCAGCTTGATGTGGCGCAGGAGGTTTCCCTTCTGGGTGAAGGAGGCTCCGCACTGGTTGCAGTGGAAGGGCCTTTCTCCTGTGAAACCAGAGCAGGGGGTGAAACTCCCAATTTCCTAAGCCTGCAGAGCTTAGGAAGAGCCTAGGAGAGCAGGGCTGAGCACGTTTGAGGAGGGAAGCCCCAGGTTCACAGAATCACAGAATCTTCTAGGTTGGAAGAGACCTTAAAGATCATCTTGTCCAACTGTCAACCCGACTGACAAAAATAGACACCCCCACAACAAACAAGGAGCATCATCACTAAACCAGACCTCCCAGCACCACATCAACCCGGCTTTTGAACACCTCCAGGGATGGGGCCTCAACCCCCTCCCTGGGCAGCCCATTCCAAGAGCTGAGAACCCTTTCAGAGAAAAAATTTGTCCTAATATCCAGCCTGAACCTCCCCTGGCACAACCTGAGGTCATTTCCTCTTGTCCTGTCGCCTGGGACTTGAGAAAAGAGACCGACCCCCACCTCTCTACCCCCTCCTTTCAGGGAGTTGGAGAGAGCAAGAAGGTCTCCCCTCAGCCTCCTCTTCTCCAGGCTGAACACCCCCAGCTCCCTCAGCCTCTCCTCATCAGACTTATTCTCCAGACCCCTCACCAGCTTTGTCGCCCTTCTCTGGACCCGCTCCAGCCCCTCAATGTCTTTTTTATGGTAGGGGGCCCAAAACTGGACACAGCACTCGAGGTGAGGCCTCACCAGTGCCCAGTACAGGGGGACAATCACCTCTTGGGCCCTACTCGCCACGCTGTTCCTGACACAGGCCAGGATGCTGTTGGCTTTCTTGGCCACCTGGGCACACTGCTGGCTCACGTTCAGCCGACAGTTGACCAACACCCCCAGGTCCTTTTCTGCCCGGCAGCTCCAGCCCCTCTGCCCCCAGCCTGTAGCGCTGCCTGGGGTTGTTGTGACCCAAGTGCAGGACTTGTTCGATACCAAAGCCATGCTCTGGATGTCACCTCCAGCCCTGGGCAGCGACAGACCCAGCCATGGGTCGGACATGAAGAGGAAAAACCTTCTACACGCACCCCCCTGGGCCTTTCCCCACTACCATCTTCTGGCCACCACTACCAGGGTCAGCGTCTGGGACCCAACACCCACCTCCCGTGGCTTCTGTGGCCACCAGCCAACACTCACTTGCCACCAGGCTTCCAAAAGGTGCTTCCCTCCACCCCCTTGCCCCTGCCCCGGGGCACACTCACCGGTGTGGCTGCGCTTGTGCACCATCAGCACGTTGGGGCCGATGCACACCATCCCGCAGATGTCACACTTGAGCTTGCCGTTGGGCAACCGAATGCCCCCGGGGGAGTGGGGCTCCTGGCCCGTCCCGTCGCAGTAGCCCAGGGGCTCCGAGAGAGAGTCCTCCACGATCACACTGTCCTCCTTCTCCAGCATGCGCTCCTCCTGCGCCAGCAGCCGGCTGCCTTCCTCATCGCTGTACATCTCCACCTTGATGGAGTTGGCTGAAGGGATAAAAAACACAGTCAGCAGAGAGAAGGGAAAAAAAAAACACAACACCTGGGAAGTTAAAGCTGGGAGCTTTAAACTGCCCGGCTTAGGCAGGACTTACTCCTGAAAGAAAGAAGGTGATGCATTAAGTGATTAGTTTGAGATAAATGAGCATCTTCTTATTGCATCGACTACTCGCGAGCCACCAGCAAACCTGGATGACGTGAGGTCCCGGGCTCGGCCGCCACCGACCGAAGGAAAAGACATTTAATTCCCTGGATTCAAAGGTAGAGGGGGGGGAAGAAAAACCACTACGTGCTTCTGAAGCGCTGCAGAGGAAGCAAAACCACCGAATTTTGACTCCCTGGACCAGTAAAGGTTCAAAACGCCCTGGCACAGAGAGAGCCTGACAGGAGTCTCCGGGACCGACAGGAAATCCCGTCTCAGCGGAGAAGCCATCGCTTCCCCACAAGTTTTCAGCTTCGCTACAAGACCTGGAATCCATCAACTCTCTTAAAGGCAGAAAAAAGAACCCAAAGAGGACGCTGGTGCCTGAAAAGCCCCAGGTCCTGGGTGGAGGGCAGGCTCCCTGCGGGCAGCTCAGCCCCTTCCCCTTCCCTCAGAGCCCAGGAGGCTGCAGGAATCGTGGCCAGAATCCCCAATACAGGGAGGGGACGTACAAACAGACACCCCTGGGGTGGCACCGAGAGCCCCAAAAAGGTTTGTGTGAAATGAGGGGAGCGGAGGTGAGCGATGCTGGGGCCGAGGGCTGGTGGCTACCGTGGCCGCAGAGCTTCTGGCCCAGGCAGGAGCAGAGCGAGGGCAGGACCAAAGGGTCACAGAATCACAGACTCTTCTAGGTTGGAAGGGACCTTCAAGATCATCTCGTCCAACCATCAACCTGACTGACAAAAATAGACACCCCCACAACAAACAAGGAGCATCATCACTAAACCAGACCTCCCAGCACCACATCAACCCGGCTTTTGAACCCCTCCAGGGATGGGGCCTCAACCCCCTCCCTGGGCAGCCCATTCCAAGGGCTGAGAACCCTTTCAGGGAAAAAATGTTTCCTAATATCCAGCCTGAACGTTCCCTGGCGCAACTTGAGGCCATTTCCTCTCGTCCTGTCGCCTGTGACTTGAGAAAAGAGACCGACCCCCACCTCTCTACCCCCTCCTTTCAGGGAGTTGGAGAGAGCAATGAGGTCTCCCCTCAGCCTCCTCTTCTCCAGGCTGAACGCCCCCAGCTCCCTCAGCCTCTCCTCATCAGACTTATTCTCCAGACCCCTCACCAGCTTTGTCGCCCTTCTCTGGACCCGCTCCAGCCCCTCAATGTCTTTTTTATGGTAGGGGGCCCAAAACTGGACACAGCACTCAAGGTGAGGCCGTGGGTCCGGGCTGTAAATCCCACCAAAGCCGGGGGTGCCAGAGGGATTGGGGGGAAAGCCAAGCCCCTTGGGGTTCCCTCCCCGCCGCCACCTTCCTTCCCTTCCTCCTGCGGCACCGGGAGCCGGCGAGGGGATGCGCCAGCCCTGACCTACATTCCCGGCGGCTCTAACGATCTGTGGAATGCCACAAATCAAACACTCCCCGAGAGAGAGCGTGGCCACCCTCCGCTGCCAGCCCCCGGCCGGGATCGGGAGAGGGGAAGGACACGGGACAAACCTCAACCCTTCCCGAGGAACTCGCCCACCCGGACCCCGCTCCCTCCCTCGGCACAGCGTCCGTCCCACCTCCCGTTCCCTCTGCCCGAGGGAGAGCTTTCTGCCAGGACACCCCCAGCCTCGGTGACAAATCGCCCCGTTCCGAGAGCCAGTCTTTAAAACGATCAAATCGGGAATCTTAAAGGCAGAAAAAAGAACCCAAAGAGGACGCTGGTGCCTGAAAAGCCCCAGGTCCTGGGTGGAGGGCAGGCTCCCTGCGGGCAGCTCAGCCCCTTCCCCTTCCCTCAGAGCCCAGGAGGCTGCAGGAATCGTGGCCAGAATCCCCAATACAGGGAGGGGACGTACAAACAGACACCCCTGGGGTGGCACCGAGAGCCCCAAAAAGGTTTGTGTGAAATGAGGGGAGCGGAGGTGAGCGATGCTGGGGCCGAGGGCTGGTGGCTACCGTGGCCGCAGAGCTTCTGGCCCAGGCAGGAGCAGAGCGAGGGCAGGACCAAAGGGTCACAGAATCACAGACTCTTCTAGGTTGGAAGGGACCTTCAAGATCATCTCGTCCAACCATCAACCTGACTGACAAAAATAGACACCCCCACAACAAACAAGGAGCATCATCACTAAACCAGACCTCCCAGCACCACATCAACCCGGCTTTTGAACACCTCCAGGGATGGGGCCTCAACCCCCTCCCTGGGCAGCCCATTCCAAGGGCTGAGAACCCTTTCAGGGAAAAAATGTTTCCTAATATCCAGCCTGAACCTCCCCTGGCGCAACTTGAGGCCATTTCCTCTCGTCCTGTCGCCTGTGACTTGAGAAAAGAGACCGACCCCCACCTCTCTACACCCTCCTTTCAGGGAGTTGGAGAGAGCAATGAGGTCTCCCCTCAGCCTCCTCTTCTCCAGGCTGAACACCCCCAGCTCCCTCAGCCTCTCCTCATCAGACTTATTCTCCAGACCCCTCACCAGCTTTGTCGCCCTTCTCTGGACCCGCTCCAGCCCCTCAATGTCTTTTTTTATGGTAGGGGGCCCAAAACTGGACACAGCACTCAAGGTGAGGCCGTGGGTCCGGGCTGTAAATCCCACCAAAGCCGGGGGTGCCAGAGGGATTGGGGGGAAAGCCAAGCCCCTTGGGGTTCCCTCCCCGCCGCCACCTTCCTTCCCTTCCTCCTGCGGCACCGGGAGCCGGCGAGGGGATGCGCCAGCCCTGACCTACATTCCCGGCGGCTCTAACGATCTGTGGAATGCCACAAATCAAACACTCCCCGAGAGAGAGCGTGGCCACCCTCCGCTGCCAGCCCCCGGCCGGGATCGGGAGAGGGGAAGGACACGGGACAAACCTCAACCCTTCCCGAGGAACTCGCCCACCCGGACCCCGCTCCCTCCCTCGGCACAGCGTCCGTCCCACCTCCCGTTCCCTCTGCCCGAGGGAGAGCTTTCTGCCAGGACACCCCCAGCCTCGGTGACAAATCGCCCCGTTCCGAGAGCCAGTCTTTAAAACGATCAAATCGGGAAGTTTCCTCCCACTTTCAGCCATTGCCAGCAGCCGGGAGCGAGAGGGAAGCCCCTGGGGAGGCTCCTCGGCCGATCGCACCCGCTACCTGCTCCTGGGGGCTGGAGGAAGATGATGATGATGGAGTGAAGTCGGATCCAGGTCACCCCCATGGCCACGCACCGAGCCCACGGCCTTAAAGAAAATATTTACAGAATCCCTTGAAATATCAAGATTCTCCTTTCTTCCATTTAAAGCGGGAGGCTCTTCCCAATCCCTTAAGAGAAGAACTGTGGGGGCTGGAGGGAGGAAGCTGAACTTTCTGTACACAAAAGGAGATGCTGCTGCTGCCCAGAGGGTGGGCGATGGCAGAGCCCGGGCTGCCTGGGGGGGACGGGCGTGAGAACGGAGTGAAATCCCAGCAGCTTCCAAATCTGGTGCCAGTTCGACCCCGGGGGCTGGTTCAGTCCTTTGGGAGAGCAGGGACACTCACCCACGGGCCGGGGACACCGAGGGCATCCCAGAAAGCCTTGGAAACATCCCAGGTACCAAATTGGCTGCAGGATTTGACCTTTAAAAACCAGGGGGTCCTGAGAAAACTCTGCCACGGGATGAGGCTGGGGGGATCCTTCCCAGTTGGGCGAGGTGGATCCTTCCCAGGGAGGTTTTGGGTCACTTATTGGGCAAGGAGAACGTGCCAACACCGGCGATGGCAGAGGCAAGATGTTCCCTGTCCTGGGACACCCCCAGCCTCGGTGACAAGTCGCCCCGTTCCGAGAGCCAGTCTTTAAATGATCAAATTGGGACGTTTCCTCCCACTTTCAGCCATTGCCAGCAGCCGGGAGCGAGAGGGAAGCCCCTGGGGAGGCTCCTCGGCCGATCGCACCCACTACCTGCTCCCCCCACTCCCCCCGAGGAGCCGGGGGAGCTCCTCTTCCTCACCACCCTCAGCCCCGGGGGACAGGAGGGCTCTGGCTCTGCCCCAGGGCCGGGTCCAGCCGGGCCGGCGGGGATTAAGGAGGAGCAGCAGCATGGAAGTGATTCACCGGAGCCTGCGAGAGGTTTATTGCCGGGTGAAGAGCCCAGGAATTCTGGCTTTCCCTCCCCTCCTTCCCTTCCTCTGCACAAACACGGAGTGAAAAGCTCCTCTCCGGGCGGCGGGAGCTGCCGTCGAGGCAGGAGTTGACGTTCGTTCGTGCACTTTGATTTTCTGGTTGGGTTTTTGTTGGTTTTTTTTTTAACTCTCCCGTTCCCCTGAGGACTTGTTTTTTTTTTTTTTTTTTTTTTTTTCTTCCCTGGGCATAGAAGGGAGGCCAACTATTGTTCTGTAATTCTCCCTTTCAGAACCAACGCGGAGTCCGGGTCTCGCCGGGGAGAAGTCTCTCTGCTGGCAGAACAGGTTACACAATGTCCTGGCTCCTCTGGGGCACGGCGCTGCCTGGATGAACCAGCTGGGAAGTCAAGTCGGATCAGAGGCAATACCATCACCGGCGGCCCGCTGTTAAAGGGGAAGGGATGGTTATTGTCCTTTCACTCTCTCTCCACGTGCTCCTCTCCTTTTGCTTCTGATCAAGCAAAAAAAAGCTGCATTTCCCTCTCCGAGCTGCTCCTCCGCCGGAAAGCCAAGGCTCGGTTTCTTCATGGAGCTCCTGAGCCTCCTTCCAGGGCAAATGTAAAATAAAAGAGGGAGTGATGAAAAGGAAAAACAGCACCGGAGCTAATTTGTAATGTCACCTCTTCTGAAAACGTCGCCTTTTGGGGTTTGGTTAATCCTGGGTCACAAAGAGCAACCTTCAAAAGCTGGGGACCAGAGGTGTCCCCGACGTCTCGCTGCCGGAGCCCGCCCCCAGAAATTATGGGGGAGTTTCTCCACCGCAGCAACGGGCAGCGAGGGGGGAGAGCGGGGAGAGTTGAGCAGCGCCGGTGGTTTTGGGGTGGAATGAGTCAATCCGATAGAGACGGCCCAACGGTCGGCTCCTGAACCTCAAGGTTCCTCCTGTCACAGCGTCCCTTCTCCTCCTCAGCAGCACCAACGGCCCAGGGGAACCCAGGAAACGGCACATTCCTCCTCAAAATCCCCTCGGCGGGAGCGGGGGACACACCAGGGCAGGGACAGAGCGCCACAACTGGAAACCAGACCTGTTTTACTGGGGGAGGTTCCTTAAATACATCCCCAAAAAAGCAGTTTCCTTCATTTGAAATAAAAGGTGATGAATCCCATCCGTAGGCAGAGATGGAGATGGAGGGTCCACGCCACGGGCAGGAGATGATTCCCCACATTGATACTGGTTCTGGGTGAGCTCCCTCTCGGTGCCAGCCACCAGCTGGGACGATGGCACCGGGGACGATGGCACCCGTGGGGTGACAAGGGCTGGCCGGTGCTGCCTCCCCCCTCTTCTTCTCATTTCTTTTTGCCAGGGGGAGGCAGAAAGGACGGAGGGAGCCGATGGCAAAGCCGGTGCCTGAACCCAACGGCACAGACCGCAGCGGAGGCCGGGAGCTGGCGGTGCCTTTCATCACTCTGGGGGTCTCCAAACGTACCTGGGGTTCTCCTGACACAAACACCCTCCCCACAGACCCCATGGCATGGGGGGAGAGATCTCCTGCTCCTCCAGGACCTGCCCCAGATGCCACCCGAAAGGCAGAGGAGCGGCTCCTCCGTCCCCACGCACCCAGCCGGGCAGATATCAAAAAATAACCAATTCCAAAGCACCCGATGGCCCCAAAGCTGTCACCATTAACAGCCCGGGACACGCAGCTGCCCAAAAATCAACGTGAAATTCACCCCCCCCCCCAGGAAAGACCCCAACCCCTCGGCATCCCCACAGCCCACCCGGCAAACGGCCGCTGCCCGGGATGGGCAACGGGGCGGCTGCTCTGCAGGGAAACCAGAGCCAGTTTTTATCCTCTGGGGTTGGAAAACAAAGAGTCAGAGCGGGAGAGAAATCTGTCCCAGCGGGAAGTCGGAATTTCTGTCACGCCTGAGAGGGTGCAGGGTTTGGGGACAGAGCAGGGCAGAGCCTGGCAGGGCTCTCTCCCCACGATAGAGCCGGGGGGTACTCACCGCTGAGCGAGCGGCTCGGGGAGGAGTGCTGGCTGTTGGGAGTGCTCACCGTGGGCCCCACGATCGCCGAGCTGAACTCCTTCTCCAGAGAGGAATCCCCGCTGCCTTTGGGAGGAGGGAAACACGAGTGAGTGATGCCCGAAGCACAGTTGATGGTTTCGCCCCACCAAGCCCCCTCCCCAACGCCTCCGCTTCAGAAAGGGGCTGCCGAGGGCCTTTTGGGGGGGCTGGGGGACACGGCGTGTACCCCAACCGTCTGCCCCACGCACCAGCACGGTGTCACAGGAGCTCGGTGCTTTCTGGACCACGGTGCCATGGCTGTGACCTCCTTGGTCAGCAGCCCCACGGCCGCAGCTGCTTTGCCCCCATCGCTGGCACCCAGGGGGGTGGCAGGAGAGGGGCCACACGCCGTGCAGGAGGGCTCGGGGGGAGCACGGTGCTGGGTGCCAGCCTGGGGGGAGCCAGGCCACCCCCCACGCACAAGCATCCATCCCCCACCTCAACACCCCCGGCCAGGCTGACCCCAGTGCTCCCAGTGCGCCCCTTCGCCAGGCACCGGGGGTCCCTTCCTCGAGGGTCCCTTCCTCGAGGGTCCCTTCCTCGAGGGTCCCTTCCTCGAGGGTGCCCCCTGAAGTGACACTTCCCAAAGAGACACTCACACCCCCGGGAAGCCGAGCCCACCCTGGACGGACTCTTGTCCCTGGAAACAGCCCCCCTGCCCACTCATTGGGAAGGGAATTCAGCGGGATGGCTGAAGCAAGGCCCAGATCATCTCGAGCCCCAGCCATTTGTGCTCCAGCCTGGACTCATTTTTTCCCCTTCAGGGGCTACCAGGTTTCTGTTCCGGCGAGACCCACTGGCTGCCAGTGCACGGAAAACCCCCGGATCCCCGCCAGCCCCCCCCTCTCACCGCGTGCCCGGGAGCCGGGCGGCCGCGGGCAGCGACGCCGCGGGGACGGGGACAGGGCAGATCCATGATGGAAAGTGCAGAAGCTGCTCCGCCAGCGCCTCCCGGCCCAGCTGGGAATGTTATTTCTAAAATACTTTGCGTCTGGAGCAACTCTCCTCCCGGTGCTCCCCGGGCCCAGTCCATCCCATTGTCTCTTGACTGACTTACTGGGACGCTGAGCTCATCGGCCACGGGGAAGCGTTTATGGTGACTGCCCTCGGGCAGAGCATCTTCTTCAGCTGGGACCCCCCCAGCAGCACCCTCATTCCCCCCTCCAGCTCCCCAAAGGCAGCGTTTTACAGAGGTTTTCTTTCCTCCCAGGACCCTTCCCCTCTCCCTCTGCTGCCAGCCAGCCCCGGTCACGCCAAGCCTACGTGCGCTGCAGAAGAGGTTAACGAGAAGGCCGAAATAACGAGCCCTGGAGAGAGGGAGCGTTAGCCCACGGGGGCTGGGGGGCACATCCTGAGGCCAAAAACCCACCAGCCGCTGCCTTGGGGTGAGACCGACCCTCTCGGAGGGTCTTGGTCCATCACGAGGGGTGTCCTCAGCCTCCACGGGCATCTCGGGGGGGGTCAGGCCTTTCCTTCCCTCTCTCCCTGCCAGCACGGGGGGATTTCAGACACCTAAAAATCATCCTCTGGAGCGGGTCCCCTCTGCCCAGCGCAGCCCCCGGCTCCCTCCGCGCGCGGAGACGGCACCGAGTTATTTCAGGATCCTTTTCTCCTCTTCCCCCCCCCTCCTCTCTCC